GAGTGGATTCGGAATGACCTAAGAGACTTTTGATAATCTAAATTAAACTTTAGAAACCGAGTTTAAGTCAGAATAAAAGATTTCCTAACACACTGCTGGGTTTGGCTTGGGTTGTTATCTATCTCAATAAATTGCCTTGAAATTATCGAATTTACCAGTAACAGCAGGTGGAGGTCTGAAGTATGTAAGATTAGAAAAAGGAATCCGAGTTTCTTTTCGAGTGAAGAATTAGCCTTTCGAAATATTTTACACAAGTTGTGATATATCATCAGCAAAGTCAGGGATATTGTTTAATGAAAATGGGTATTTCGACTCTCGTCAATCAGTAATAGACTTACAACTTACGAATAGACATAAACCTGCTGACAATCATCTACTTTTGACATTGACTAAAAAATCAAGTTTATTATCAGCTTCGTTCTCGCCAAATTAAATTATTGATTGTGTTGAACCAGAATTGAAATAGGATAATGAAATTATTGAGAGAATAAGACAACGCATTATCACTAGAAAAAGGGAAGGGTAAAAATAGTCACCTACTTTTGGGGCTTCTGTTGCTGACATAGCTAGTGTTAAAACGATTAGGGAGTAACCTCATATCTTAATTGTTGATGATGAGATGATCAATATTATTAGTTTGAAGATCTTACTTAGTCAGTTCAATATCAAATGCACTTCTGCTTTCAATGGATTAGAAGCAGTAAACAAAATAAAAGAATGTATATTTGTAAATTTAAATATTTAGCTAATGAGAAATTTAATGTTATTTTTATGGATGTTAATATGCCTATCATGGATGGGTTCTAGGCCACAGAACAGATTCTAAAATTTGACAATGATAATACCATTGTTGCATGCACTGCATTCAGCGACGTAGAAACGAAAACTAAGTGTTATTCTGTGGGAATGAAATACTATATCAACAAACCTGTTACAATGTTTGAACTCTTGAAATTGTTGAATCACTTGAATTTAATTATATAATGATTAAACATAAAAAATAAGCCATTATTGGGATGTACATTCTGCAACTCATTTATGCAACTTTAGAATGCACTAGAGCTCCCCTTTTGAATCTCATACTGCTTTTAATCAGCTTAGTTATTAGTCTATTCTAAATAGTACTCTTAACAAAATATAGTAACTTAAACATTTATGCTCAATTCGCTATCAATATCTTGAGTGTTTTTGCCAAACAAAACGATTAGTTCATGGTGCTGTAGTCACTTGTCGGATTCATACTTTTTATGGAAAATGACTAAAAAAGATGGCATCTTAATATTCTTGCTTGCTCAAGTAGTATTGGAAATTATCATAGTCCATGTAACCCTAATCTGTATATATTCATAAAATAATGAAGTCCAATCTTATTTGATGAGTGTATTCACCGTCTTGATTGTCACCTATTTCTCTTGGGCTATAAAAGAGTAGAAGCTGCAAAAGCAATCGAGTAAAGGCTCTTTGCTTACTTCTCGCATGCCGAATACAATCAAATCGCTTGTTCTTTTGGAGGACATCAACTTCATAACACACAAAGCTATTGTGCTTGAAAATTCGACAACACTTGAAATAAGATCATGCACCAATGAACTCAGAGACATTCTAATTAGGGATGAGGTTTCCGAAGAAAATCTATTGGATCACATGAGAATACTTAAAGTGGACAAACAAACTCAAAAAAACCTAAATTAAAAAATCAAGGGAATAAGTCTACGACAACTAATAAACAAATGTTAAATTTTGCAAAAGACAACAGATATATTAATAATTAAAACAAATTTTATTTTATTAGAATATTATTAGATAAAGTTGCATTTCGAGAGAGATGTGATCATTTTAAAGTTTGAAGAAATCAAAGAGTTTTCAAAGTACATCAAGAAAAACTCATGTTATGCTTTGATGAACAAATTGTTTTAATCCTTTAGTCACGAATTTGGAACCCTATTGAATTAAATCGCTCTTAATGCGTAAAATGGTTTGGCACAATTCCCATCAATGAAAGAACAATTCGATTCTATATACAATTGTGTAGTTATGATGAATAACATGGTCAAGGACTTAAAAGACTTCCATTAGCTACGCAGCAAAACCTTTCAATTAGAAATAGACGACGTGAATATCGATGACATCTTCACTGAACTCTAAACCTTATTTAAATAACATGCAGTATAAAAAAAGATTTCCCTATATTTAGTGAATAAAGTTACTGTCAACTTTAAATAAGATGGATAAAGAATTAAGTAAATACTCCAAAACCTTATCTAAAATGCTATCAAATACACAAATTAAGAGGGGCAAGTATATGTGACTGCTGAAAAGGAAGATGACAAAAGGATCAAATTTTCAGTTCTAGATTCAGGAATTGGAATATCTGAAAGTGTAGCCTCCAACATCGAATAAATGTTAGGGAATGATTTGATCTTGACGTCAAAACTTTCAGAAGGAGCAGCTGGATTAGGCTTAGGATTGCTCAATTCAAATTACTTAATTAAGCATCTATCCTCATTCAAACCAGCTCACAAAGAATATTTGCAATTTAAATCAAAATAAGGAGATGGCACAAAGTTTTGGTTTTGCCTTTGGAAATATCAAGTATTAGAATCACCCACCAGTTAATTTGAATCCAAATCAATAAAAATGATTGATAAGAAAGTATTCCTTCATCAGAAATCCAATCTTGCTTATCCTCTTTCCAGCATTGCCTCCAATCCTAAAAGTTGTCCATCATAAATCAAAAAATTGAGTCCAAGCAAATCGTGCCAAATGAGACCTTAACCTTAGATATTCTTTCCATCAACTCTCAAGGATGATAACATTATGATAATTGAAGAAGATGACAGAACAATTGCAGAGGATCCAAAACCAAATCATTTGCCTGGACAGAGAGCAAGATTCCCTTCAATGAGTTCACCAGAATGCTAATTTGTTAAATTACTCTTAGTGGATGATGAACCAGCAAATTTATTCCCGTTGAGGATTATGATTAAAATGCTTGGGTTCGAGAGTGATATAGCATAAAATGGATATCAAGCTATTTAATAGGTGGAATCAAGATTGAATTAGAAATGCCAATATCATTTAATATTAATGGATATTAACATGCCGTAAATGGATGGATTTGAAACAACCAGATAAATCAAATTATTGTAACCAAAAATTAAAATAGTGGCTTGTTCTGCTTTCAGTGACATGCAGACAAAGTATTAAGCATAATCATATGGGATGTTAAGTTACTTAGAAAAACCAATAAATAAAGAAAATTTATAGCAAATATTGGAAATGTATTTGTGATCATTTTTATTTATACAATTCCTTACCTCTCTTGATAGCTTAATCAAATAATGCTTTCATTCCTGGTTCTTATTAAATCTTTAATGCTTCAAAGTAGGATGCAGCTGCCTCTCCAAACTCATTCAATCCTTCATAAGCTTACCCTTCAAAGTAGTAGATCTTCACCCCAATCTTTCTTAACATTTCTAGCCTGCTTACATGTTGCTAATGTGTCCTTATATTTCGATAATTTCAATTAAGCATTAGCTAAATTAGTGTAAATCTTCACAATTTCATCTCTATAATGATCAACGATCTATTTGGATTTCTCAATTATTTCACTATACTTAATAACTGCCTATTCATATTTTTCTGCTTATAACAATTTATTGGCCTCCCCCTTTTCTACATTAATCTCATTATATAGAACCTTAACTTAATCATCTGTCAGCTAAACCAAAGAAGCTGGAATCTAGGGTTCCTTTCTCAAAGCAAATTCTCTATAATATTCGACACAATCCCAATTCTCATTTTATACTGCTAAGTCCAAAGAAGTTTACTTTTTATTTTCGTAATTGATATCCGCACCATGTTTAATCAGTGTTTATGAAAATTTTAATAATCCTTTTTCTGCACATAAGTGCAAAGCTGACCATCCATCGTGGTCTTTGATATTCACGTTGATCTTGTCTGAGAATTCTTCAAATATTGTGTTAAACAACTCTTGATTGTTTTAGTCAATAAGTAAATGTAATAAGGAAGGCATTTCATTTTAAACGATATTTAAGTCTGCTCCTTTCTTTATCAAATGGAGAGCACTCCAATTTTACTAGTATGCCACTGCAAATGAAACTGGTGTACCATAATTGGACAATGCATTGATATTGGCTCCTGCTGAGAGCAATAATTCAATCATTGGAATTGCACCTTATTAAGCAGCCAAATGAAGAGCTGTGATTGTATTTCTAGAGTAATTCACATCCACATGGTGTACATCAATCAAGTATTGCACAATTGATAAATGATTGTGTTGAACAGCAATCAAGAATGGATTATTCTTTTCATCATCCAACAAATTAACATCTGCTCCTTTCTTGACTAAAAACTTGAACACATCCAAGTCTCCTCTAGATGCACCGAAATGAATGGCCTTCTTGCCTTTTCCCTCTGAAATCACATTTATAAATGTTCTTATGGGAACCTTCTCATTTTCATTTCCTCTCTTGCGTTGTTTTACATACAAGAGATACCTTTTTATAGTATCAATGTCAGAAGTACTGATTTATTTAAAATACTCTTCGATGAATTTCTTTTCCACTTCTATTTCTTTAATATCACTCATTAATAATTTATGAATTAATTGTGATTTTTGGAAAATTAAACTTTACCCTCTTTTAAGTCCATCAAATAAAAATTGCTTTGCTACTTAAAATCATCCTAATCAATAGCTTTTGAATAATAGCAGTATAGATTAATGAGAGAGTTCAAACATAATCATCGATGTTGAGATTTCGGAATACAGAGAGAAAGAAACTCTTATATCTTATATTTAAATGACAATATAAATGATAATTTCTTAAAAATAACCAATACACATAAACAAGTTATCAAAAAAGTAGAAAAAACATTCTCAATTTTCAAATTTATTGGGATTAAGAATTTTAGAGAAATTGTAGATATGAGCATCTTAAAATTTATTATTATTATTTTCATCATGAGTAGAATTAATAAGTGAATTCTACCTAAAATTTATATTTTTATTAACTATTATGTATTCTGGTGCTTAAGTATAGATTGGTTCTTGTTAATCTTAAGAGATCTCCTCATCACATTACTGCAAAGCCATAGCACCTAACTAACGAGCTTATCTTATTAGTTTGATTTTTCTCATCATGGAAATTTTAAGCTTTAATGCAACGGTATTTTTCATAAACTGAACTCCTCCAGTTTAAATATATTTATATAATGCTGTTTTGGTGTCCATAACTTAAGGCTATTTGTAATTACTATCTTTTAAGGTTTTTGCTTTAATGAATTCCAAGATTGCATTTTGTTAAGTCAATGGGTTGGTTCTATCATAATCTGTTGGCAGTTTTAAAAAGACATCCTAGTATCTATCCTTCTCAGTATATAGATTATCCTTTCTATCAAATAATTTACTGATTCTAGTAGCTGGAGTGATTAATTCTAGACAAGAGAACCCCAAACTGATAAAATTTATTGTCAATATAATTGAACTTGAACTAAAAATGTAATCTGTCCATATTTAGCCAACAGCCAAAATGATAGGACTTAATTCAAATAAGTTCATCATTTCTCGATTTAAATGAAAACTTTAAAAAGGAGGTTTGCAATTTCTTCTTAGCAATAGATACTTCTATATCCAATAGTACAGAAGTAATCCAGAACTGCAAAATAGCAAGGATATTGGTAATAAAGGAGCAAATAGTAAGGAGATCCAAAGAGACAAGCAAACATATGAATAATGTTCATACAAAAGTACAGAAGGTCCTTCAAATATTCTATTAGCTTCTATCTAATTGAAAGTATTATCAACTTTGAAGAAGTATTACTGATATAATTTATAGAGGTAGAGTGGATCCAAATAGGCAAAAATAGGAACAAGGAATGAATTCACAATCAACAAAAAGAATGCGTCTGAAATTACTCCCCCTTATCTAGAGTAGGCATACGTTGCTGCATGAGCATCAGGATTTTCGTTTTGAAAATTATAGACTAAAATATTAATAACTTTGGTGAAGATTCCTGAATTAAAAAATTAAACAATTGCCAATTTAGTTGCAACTGAAACATCATGGTGAGTTTTTGTGAAATGCTTTTCCGATTATCCTAGCAATTTAATTACGTGATAAATTATCTAATTTATAACTGTGATTATTAATGAAATAACCAGAGTTACAAATATCATTATAGCATCATCAAAGGAAGAGAGATTTTGACTTTATAAGATATTTAAGCCTAGTAAAATTGTGAAGGAAGCTGCTAATATGAATATCGTAATAAAGAAATTTAATATTCTTTTTTGTATTTGATACTGGAAATTAAACCCACAGTTCTCCCAAAAGACATCGTTTGGTTCAGGAGCTCTGCAAAATATGATAATTCGATTTTTAAAATAGAAGCCTCTTCGATCTTGTTGATTGATGAAGTAATATTTGAATCGAATCCACACTCCTTCCCAGTATGATAGTTTAGTTTAATCTAAAACTGATTGCAATTCTAAAATAGAATATCAATTTACATTCTTTAGTTTAGAAAGTCACAAATGCAACCTAAGTTTAGTGTGCATATTATTATTTTTCAACTTCACTTTCAATTCGCGATAATTTTTCACCAAGGAAAATAATCCTTTGTTTCAAACTACTGAGATAATTGTTCTTCAAAGAACGTGGATATCGATGATAGGATTTATAATAATTTTCTATTTTTTCTATCTTTTTTTCCAAACACATCTTTTCCCTACTGCATTAAACAAATGAAGTAATATCATATGCTATTATTATTTTAATGATTTCGTATCGCCCTTTGTCATCAAATTAATAACAAAAATCTAACAATGCGTCCTTTAATTCCGCTTCATTGTATTCATTTCTTGGTAAGTTTGTCAACATGGCTGTGAAATCAGAAGGAGAAACAAATTCTTAATCACAAACTCTTGCAGTGTTTCTTTGTGATATCCTGATTCTAATCATCGCAAACTTAAAAACTAAAATACTACACAAAACTAGAATAGACTAGACAAATTTAGATGTCTCATCGAACTGTTTGTTTGCAAATGACATCTACATAACTGATGTTTCAAGACAAATATCTAAAATTTTAGCACAAATAGTCTTGCATTCATTTGAGTGAGTCAATTTTGTGATCGATAAAAAATCAGTTGAATTTTATGGACAATTTTCATTACAAAGTCCATTTAATGAAATTTGATAAAACTAATTGTCTTCCGCAATACAGTCATGATTTTTAATATTAGTTATTAGACATGGTATCCCAAGAATTATAAATAAAACACAAGCCAATAAAGTCAATTACTGGGTCATTTCAAAAAATAAAGGCATCCCTTAACCCAAAAATGCCAAATCCAATCTATTTTAACATAATGAAATTTCTTTTTATTATACATGTTATCCACAGCATGGGCAATGATCTGATTTTTCCTCATTCTCTCCACACATGGATGCTTTCTAATTAGTAATTGAGCTTACCTAATGAATTTTGGCTAAATCAATGTTGGCTGGTATGCGAAACGGATCAAAGTTTAAAGAACTCTCCTCCTCAATCTTAATTTAATTCATATTTTAAACTTCTACTGATTTAATATTATTAATTATATTTTACATTAGAAATACTCTGATGTTTCAAAGAGTGTGATCAACCTCAGTATCCAGCCTACTTTAGAATATCTATAATCATAAACCATAGACTATTTATTTTTAAGTCGAAAAAATGGTTTATAATTTTGAGAGAAATTTGGATCAATCCTTTTCTTTTGCTGTAAAAGTGGACAACATAAGGATTTTAAGATTGTAGTAATTATTTTGAGAATGAAAATCCTTCGGTATTTTGTTAATAGATCACCAGCTTCTCCCAAATCATTGTATCATATAACTAATTTAGTGATTGTTAAGAATAATTAAAATAGATATTCATTTAAAAATTTTAAATAGGGAAGCAGAATCAGTAACAACAGCATTGCCAATCAATCTGCATTAATAATAATAGAATTCTGTATTTTACTTAATCAGATTCCCATATTTTATTGGCCTTATAAAATTTAAGAATAATAATTGCACTTAAATGAATATGAATAATAACCTTACTAATAATTCTAATATAATTATCTTTATTGAAACATTTATATATATTTTTTGATTTCATTATAATTGCAATAACATTAAATGATTGATCAATTTGTCAAAGGGTTGTAAAAAATTGATAGATTTGGAGCTATATATAGACCACCAATTATAGACATCCATCCTGAATATAAATCAGTTCTTGGAGGGATTGCTACTTTTATTTTATATGGATCAAGCCTAGCTTACTTTTTGTATCAAATTATCTAATGGCAATCAAACCAATTATTACCAAAAATCACTTATATCTAAACTTCCTATGAGAAAAAATACTATAACATTGATGAAATGTTGTCAACTTTTTACATTAGAAAAAATAACAAAGTTGACTAAATCGACCCATTTGATCCAGGAAACATCATACTGCAGCCTGTACTATCTAAATTTGAGAATTAACAACTTGTAGATTCATATCCTTGTGAATATAGATTATAAGATAATAATGATATTTATGAAGTTATTTTGAAAAACATAGAACTAAACTTAAACATGAACTATTCTGATGATGATCCATAAATCGAGTATTTATTATCCTTTGGAACATGCATGGAAATATATTTATTGGATGGATAGAAATGTGCAAATTAATCTTTGGTTAACACTTATATGAATTAAAAAAGTCATGCTATAATATTAAATCATTATGTGAAAGAATATAACTCAAAGTAAAAACGTATTTAAAATGTAACAAAGCAATTCTTAGGAATTCTTACTAGTAATTCAACGTTGTATTTCTAAAATTAAATTAGATTGTCTAAAACTGAAGTTGATGATGGATTTTTATTTCCTTCTAATTCTAATAAAGAGTTTCCTATGGATGTTATAATAATATCTTAAACAACTAGCACTGATAGCTTTTACAATGTATTTGGAAGGGCAACCTACTTAGTTATGGCCTATAGTTTGAGTGAAGTAATATAAGAATAGTATATTGAATATCCTAAGATATCTGAAGTGCTGGCTGACATAGGATCTATCGTTTCGATCATTTTAGTGTTATCATATTTGTTCATCTTTTTGAATGAGCATTAATTAGAGAAAGAATCCATCTCTAAGGTTATTCAAATGTATTATCCTGAATATTGTAATATCTAATAAAGTCAAAATTGGTATGGCAAAATTGTTGAAGTTAAATACAATAATATAATTATTGATAAAGATGAATACATTTCATTTTATAATAAAATATAAAGAATTGCAGCAAAAAAGCTTAGCATTACAAATATTTTGTACACCTTGGCAAAATTATAATTTTTACTATAATCAACATATCCTTCTGATAAAATCAAACTAGCCCATAAAGTTGGAATCAAACTCAAATAATTTTCCAAAATAAGTACACCAGAAATAATTTAAGAGTAATTAAATTTACAGGAGATATCGAGAAACCAATCCAATGATCATATTTAAATTCATGACATTTCAAATGTCAATCAAAATGAATAGAATAACAATTAAAGTTCTATGGTTCAGCAAGAAACAATCAATAAGGACAACTCTAAAAGCATATTCTTAAAATTAAAGGATGAATTTCATCTCTTAAGTGATGAGGACTTTTAGCTCTTTACAATTGATGAACCGATAACCATAGATGATGATATCTAAAAATCCGATATATATTTTGAGAATAATTATATAGATCTTTGAAATTCTTAAATTGATTTTTTTATAATTAATTATGAAAGTTTTAAAAATTGCTAAAGGTGTTGTAAATATAGTGAAGAAAAAAGGATAAATTCTTAAACAGAGGTTGATTTAGATTTGCAAGGTAAATACTCAAAATAATCAATGATTTAATGCTTATTCAGCAAACTATCAAAATGGAAAATCTGCTAAATCTAAACTTATTGAACAGGTAAGATATTTGATAATGTAATTCTATTCGATTTGGGATGAGGATCTTATATTATTTCTTCAAATATATATTTATAAGTCAACTTTAAGAATCATTAAACTAATTATCCATCTTCCAAACCATTCTATATCATTCATGTTACTGGTGGAATATATTCCTTAACCATTTATCATGCCATCATTAGATTCCCCTACAAATATTATTCTCCATTTTAAAATAGCACTCCTTTTCAGTGCATTTTACCTTCCAAATATTCACCCATATTAACTTCATAATACCTTCATAACTAAGCCATCCATTTTCTATATTTCATGAGTACACCAAAAAAACCTTCCCTGATGGGAGGTTCATATCCTTAAATAAATCATCTTCATATTGCAATTCTACAAATTATTATTATTATTGTATGTGTTTTATTCTGCAGGGTTATATTTTTGAACCAAATTTTTTGTTCTATCAATGTCATCTTAGAATCTCTTCTCTAACTCCACTTCTTATAAGTAATTAGTGGAAAAACATACTTCATTTAATTTGGCTGCTATTATGGTTACGGCTGTTATTCTTGTTATTGATAGTTTTATTACAGAAAATTTATTGAGCAGTTTGATTAGGAATTATATAAGTTTGAGGCTTTCGTACAGAATATCTAGGACCAAGTTATGGCAATGATTACAATAGGTGTGATTTATTTAGTTAGATTTATCTTTAATCATTAGGATATTAAGGGTTGATAGAATTACCAGTTTGGATTTGTTATTAATTTATAGATTTTTGTTATTATCTAACTGGACTAGGTAGGTTAGTAAATTTGTTAAGTTGGATTATTTGCGGCTATTTCACTTGAAATTATGATTAATATTAGTATTATTGAGGTTATGTTTTTATATAAATTACAAATGCAGGTTTTGTGGGCCAATAAGTATTCGATTAATGTGGCGTTTAGTAAAAGGTTTGTAATTGATATGGAATAACAATTATTTTTATAGTTGTGGATTTGCGAATAATTACTGTCTAATTAAATTTACTGATAATTATTTTATTTTGAGCAAAAGAATAAGAGAGTTATTAGATTCTAAAGAGAAAAAAAAATATTTATAAAATAACAGCTTTATCAAGTATTACTAAGCATTTTTGGGGATAAACACAGACATGAAATATATTTAAAGAATAAGTACAAGAGGATTTATAACAATAAATATAATTATTAAATGTTTCTATTTTTCTTATGGATTGAATCATACACTAACAATATACTCTAATTTCGATTACTCAGAACCACTTTCATTGAAAAAGGAAATTATTCATATTTATCAGGCAAGATAGCTCTTCGTCCAAAATTTTTTTCATAATCCTTTTTGTATAATTCATAGACTCCCAAAAAATAATCAATTTTTTTATCCAAATGATTATCATGAAAATTTGATGATTCAAACTCAAATCCAGAAATCGAAGTACAATTTCCCTCAAAACTGCAAATTTTATTATCTCTAAACTACCTAAAAATACTGGGCTAACCTTATTAATTTTTTCCATATGTTCCTTTCTTTGAAATCATAATAGTAATCCTAGACCTAATGGAAAGATATATTTCTTACATAATTAGAATATTTTAGAATTGCAATTAATAAAATAGGCAGAAACTAATTATTTGTTTAACTTTTGCTTATGATAAAAAATTTATAAGAAAGTAGCAGTTAAATTATAAAATATTAAACTGGGTATTATTTAAAACTCTAAAGAATAGCAAAATCTATTACAAAAATTGCTTAAATTGATTAATCTTGAACTGAAATAATAGGAGGTATAAAGAAAAAATTTTTTTGGGGTTTTTTTGTTTTATTTTTTTTCAGCCCTTTTTTTTTTTGGAATTTTTTTTTGGGGCCTTTTTATCTTTTGATATTGTTCGGTATCATTTTTTTTCCTTTAATGGGTCTTTTTGGATCACATTTAGTGATCCAATTATACAAACAAATTATGGTTTATTAGATTTAAGATTTCTAGAAAATAATTTATGGGTTTGGATTATAAAATTATATTATAAATTAAAAAATATTATACAGTTTATTATTTCCTATATGTGAATAATCATATAGGTTATATGGCTATAAAGACATCTAAAATAGCTGAAAATAATTCTTAAGAAGATAAATGAATGCAAATATTTTTAATTATAATAAAAATGACTCTTCCTAATATTTAATTCAATTTTCTTCGCTAGGCATAACTTATCGTGTTAGAAATAATTTAGCTTATAGTATTGGAGATTTCTCCCCAAGGTGAATTGGTTGATAAATTTTTATGGAATATTAATGTATAATTTAATCCAGAATTTTATTCAAATGCTTAACAATTGTTTTGAATATTTAGAAAATCGCTATTAGTTAAGACAATAGAGCAGCTATAGGTTTGCAAAACAATAGATTTGGATGATTTGAAATTAAAGTTGTTCTTTTCTTATCTCTGACTTGAATTAAAAAATAAACATGTGTTAAAAAGAAGATTGATATAAGAGAGATTTTGAAGGATTAAGTGAAGAAAAAGAAAACAATAATTATAAGATGCTTTTTATTGATATTAATTTTCGAATAAAAAACTCAACAAGAGGTTGATATGTGGAAATAGTAAGTAAGAGAGTTGGTTGAAATGGTGATTAAAAACAATATTTAATAAGGTAATCCTTAAAAACTTTACCAATGTACTTGAATTTAAGGTCAAGGAAACCTAAGAAATAAAACAATTCTTCAAGAATTCTTTTAAATTTATCGAATATTTATAAAACTCTCTCATAATTTTTTTGAAATATATCAATAAACTCAAATTCATTTAAAGAGCAAATTTTTTTTTTTTTGATTTATCTATCAAATGATCTGAAGCACTAAAAGATTTGAAAGAAGAGTAAAAGTATTTTATTTATTTAACTTTCTAAAATTGATTGTATAATTATGAATAATTTTTATATTACATAAATCTTGAAGAAAAGCTATGAAATATCAATGTAAATTAACTTTCAATCAATTTTATTTTGCAGGTCTATATTATTACTTTATTCTTGAATACATTATTTGTATTTTCTTTGATAACTGAGAAATATGTAATTTTTCTTATAAAACATTTAGAGATAAACTCAATTAAGAAGAATCCTATTAAGGCTTATGCTGCTAAATATTAACCAACAATTACAGTTTATCAATATTTAACTTAGAGAAGGACAAAAAATAAAAATCACTTTAAGTCTACCTTTAAAATAAACACCATAATAAATATTTAAAGTTTTAGTCATTAAAATTTAAGTAATTATCTACAGAAAATTGAGAATCTATCTTATTTTAATAATAATCTCATTAATGTTGCATTATTTCAGGTATTTCATCTATTAATAATTTTCATGATTCCATTTCATTGGGTATCCATTTATCATCTGATGTTAGTATATCTTTAACGTTTTAAAATCAATGCATTTAATCTATTCTATTTTTGGAGCTAGCCAATTAGCCTTTCCATCAAATATCAATAAATACAATCCCACATACTTTATTAATTTGATTCTGAGAATAAAATTCATTCTTTGAAATAATATTCATATTTCACAATCCAATTTTTTACATTTTACTGATATGTTTTATCAATTATAATATATTTTTATAAATATACTGAAAATCTTTTTAACTCTCGTTCTATTTACAATATTGATTGCTTCTTTTTCTTGATGTTTAGAAATAAATCTAGAATTTTTCTCTCCATAATCAGAATTAATTCTTTGACTATGTTTATTGATATTACTTTAAGAACAGAATTGGCAATCAAAGTTTCAAGCAGATTCAGAAATTTATCTCTAAATCTTTGTAGTTCCTTTTATTAGATAATCTCCATCACTAAACGTCATTATTTTCTATTATCTATTGATATTTCTTATCCTTATATTTTGCCTATTTATAATATATAACACTATAAACATGCAATTTTCCATTTCTATCATACCTATCATAATGCTTATTAAATTATTCCTTGAAATACTAGTTTATTTAACATAATTGTTTTTAAGGGGTTTTTCTAAATAAACCGATTTCTTAAAGATTTGAACGATTTGCTCTAACTTAATTAAAATGTTAATTTAACTACAGATTCTTAGTTTACTTATTATTATTCTGGATTTGAATAAATTTCTCGATATCATGAATTTATTATTATATTTTTAAAAAATTGGCTTAAGTGGTTTATATAAAATTTTGAACTAAAATGAAGACATTATTAATAAAACTTAGGAGTTTCACGTTATTAGGTAATTCCTTCAAAAAGCACTAAAATTATTCACTTGTAATATATTTCAAAAAACAACAATAAATATAGAGAATTAAGAAAAGAAAATTGTTGAAAGTTAATATGTCTTTTAAAAATTAATTATTGTATTTTTCTGAAATTTCTATTATTATTTTGAAATTGAATTAATTAATTAATTTGTTTTTTATGGGTAACAAATCAGGATCAGAATTTGGAAGCATTATGATTAGAACAGAAAAATCTTAATATATTGCTGGGGATGTTGTCAAAGGTATAATTTTCCAGCATTTTAGGAAATATCTACCTTCATATTATAATACCAGGTTATCATGGAAATGTTGTTCAACTTTAAATTGTAGGAAAAGAGAAAACTCAGTGGACAAGTGGATAAAAACAAAGCAGAAGGACACATCATGGAAAAAATCTATTCCATAGAGACACTTTTGTTATTCATACTTTTTTAGATTAAAACTTAATGGTCGGGCAATTTGTTTTTCCCTTTGAATTACATCTTCCACCAAATCTGCCAGGATCTTTTGAGTCTAGGTACGGCTTTTTGGCAAGCCTTAATTATAAGGTCAAGGCTCGAATAAGATCAGCTTCTAAATCAATTAATGACGTCAAGCATAAATAAGATATTATCATTCGAGAACCAATTAAAGAAATTTTATAAGGTTCTTCAAAATAAGAGACTGCTAATCTAACGACATGGTGCTGTAAAAAACAAGGAGTAAAAATGACATTAAATATAGTCTTCGACAATATCTGCATAAGTAGAGAAAAATTTATATTTTGCGGGAGAATTTGTTTAAATAACATATGATATTGATAATTCCGATTGTAACCTTAATATAGAA